TCACGTACTACTTTCTGGCGGCACTTGTGTACGTCCTGTCTGGGGAGGCTATTCGGTGGCGAGGCCGTGCGAGGCTCACATGGGGTTTAAGAAAGAACTCATTGCATCTAAGGTGCCCTGGGCTAGTGATCCTCCTTTTGTGATGGGTCCTGATTTAAATTTGGCATATATTTGCATGGGAGTTAGATACGACGCATATCGGTGAAAACATTAAAATGATGATAATGCCAGTTTCTTGTTTGTAGAATTAAACCCCGTCGTCCAAAACTAAAAAGAAATCAATGCACCTAAGGTGTCCAGAGCAAATATTGGTTGCTTTTTGGATCGCGATTTAACTTCTAACCAAGTTATACTTATATATGTTTCAAAATGTTTCAAATATGCAGGGCAGTTAAATGATACATCAGATGTTTGACTGTCTTGATCATGAGTCTTGAGTAATTCACAACCCTCAGCTTCGCACCACCGTAGGAACAGGGCAAAATAAGATTTATCATGGATCAAGCAAGGCAGGATATCTTGGCTTGGCAGATCCATCATGCATCAAGCTGACTGGTTGAGAAGTATTAACCCGGGATGCAGTACTCAGTGGTATTCTCTGTTGCCTTTCTCAGAGACTAGATGCCTGGTTCCGAGTATACGTAGCTGCCCGTCTGTTTGACACCTTCGATAGGTAATCTATAATCACGGTTCGGGAAAGTTTTTCGACGGTCATGGCCACTGGATCACATTGAACATTCTCTGAGACGCACAAACTGCTGAGATTGTACTTTAACCATCCAAATCGGCACGTCTGCGACGTCAGAGAGAGAGAGTTTTCATCCTTGAAAAGACCTTGAAAACAAAGATCGAATATTAAACTGCATGATGTTGCGTATTCACAAGAACCTTGTTGACCATGGACCTAATACCGATTGCTTCTACTTTTGTGTCTTTCAATGGTGATCGAAGCAGGTACTTTGGTTCAGTTGAATGAACCAAAGTATCTGTAAACCATTCAGACTGTGCACAATAAGACTTGTGGACATCCTAGCCATTAAGATCTTTATTTCAGTTATAAAGACAATGTAGACCTTCCCACTCTTATCTCTTAAATGTAGTAAACAAGTTGAAAAATAGGTTGTGAAATGTTAGATACGCAAAGAAGATACATTGTCAGCCATAGAGACTGAAAAATCTGGAGGTTGATGTGAATCTGTGCTTTGAAAACAACTTTTGTGCAGAGCTTTTGACACATGGTAATTTTGTTGAAAAGTTGCAACACAAGTCCACGACCATTCTCTTTATGTAGACAACTTTGGTCATGTTTATTATAAATTCTATTACGCTGTCAGTTTGCCAAGGAAACAAAAGTGATGGGATTTTCATGGGAGTAAATAGTTCATCAGGCATAAATCTTCAAAAAAACTTCATATTGCACAGTCAGAAATAACACATAATGGTTGGTTACTTTGACAAATAAAGGTTGATTGCTGTATACAACAGTTAAGAATAGAAATTACATGTGAGATGACTCTTGCACGTTCCACATTCTTTATTAGTACTCCGTGAAGGAGGTCAGGACCTCCGGACGGAGTGTTGTGAAGAGCTGGTTTTTCGTGTTCGCAGTCAAAACACTAGGTTCTCTTTGTGTAATCGGCACGCAATTTTATACGCCGTCAGCGGGCATGCCCGTGTTGATGCAATAATATGTATTTTTGCCGTTGCTGCTTTCGCGGTCAATGTAATATTGCAGACGCACCCCTACAATTACGAGGCGAATTGGAATGGTCCAGAAAAACGCGTTGTTTGGAATAGCAGTGGGGGGGTGGAACTTCATGCAGATACGGTGAGGTTCCGATAAGTGGTTCCAGATGTTTTTGCCCGTGCTTAAGAGATGGCAAGTTTTTTGGAAGATGTTAGCAGCCAAAACGCATTCTTCCGTACGTCGCATTTCTGTGTAATTGGGCATGTGGTGCACCATTATGTCCGTGATGATGCACGTCTTTTTATTTTCACCGTAGCAGTTTTGATATTGAAGTAAATGCATATTTTAGAAACATCCCTACTTTTACAATCCTGTGGAATAGGCCGTAGGTTTAGGCAGTTATCTGGTAGCAGAGGTTCTCTAAGCAGATATCCCGGGTATCTGACCGGCGGCAGTAACACTCGCGGTGCTGGCGGCAACTGTTGCTGGAATTTGGCCTGTTCCAGTCGCGCTTAATAAGTAACAGGCACGGTAAGACGGTGGGGCTGTCTTCGTTAATAGTGACACGACCATGATAGTCCGATCTTTATGTGAATGCAATGATTGTGTGTGTGTAATTGAAATGAACTTCGAACTTGAAGCACAGTATCTTTACACGCCCTGGGAGCAGTAATGGATTTAGGTCTTTTTATGTTTTATGCTTGTGACGCGCCCTCATTGTATTAACCGTTGCCTAATTATAATGTCTGCACAGTAGGTCTGGCGTTGACGCTTGGGATTGTTTTTGTTGAAATATATAAAACTTCACGGAGGATTGTCACCTATGGCTTCTTGTTATAGTTTTTAACAGAACCCTACTCAATTGGAACATTGGACATGACAGCGAGAGTTTTCTGTATGATAATCTAAAATTGAACACTGTACAACACAAACTGCTGAGATGAAGGAGGGTGTTATTTATTCCCTAGATGACACACAATGACCGTTCGGTTCTGTTTCATATGGAAGAATTCATAGACGAAACTCTTGAAGGAGCATTAAACTTAGCTTGAAATAAAACAAAAATTTAGGTCTCAAAATGCTGGAAATAGCGTTCAGGGGGTTAAAAATTCAAAATTTCCCGGGAGGGCATGCCCCCGGACCCCCCT